CAGTCTCTCCCCAACCCCAAGGACAGTCCCATTCTACAACAGTGGCATCATGTAATATTTGTCCTTTTGTGACTGGGATATTTCACTCAGCATAATGTTGAACTGCTGACTTTTTGTTTATCAGCTGCTGCTTCCTCACTGTGCCACCAAGGATCCTTTGTCTCTATTCCATATTTTAATAGTATTTCTAATATCAGAGAACCAAGCCAATATATATTTTAAAAGTATTTAGTAGCAACAATGAATGAATGGAAATCCAGAATCTCTGTATATGTTCATTAAAATTAATAAAATAAAATTTAAAAAAGTACTTAGTAGAACTGTTGTTAGGGGATATCAAGTTGATTTTGTGTACAGCAGATTGAAACTCTGTTTAAACATCAGAAACCTGCTCTAACAGGGTAAAAAGGAAAGCCACAAACTGGGAAAATATATTTGGTAATGAAATATCTAATAAAGGACTCATATCTAGAAAGTACAGAATACTCCAGCACCTTAACAAGAAAAAGGTAAAAAACTAAATCACAACATGGGCACAGGATATGAATAAACACTTCACCAAAGAAGACATTAAGGTGGCAAATAAACACATGGAGAAATGTTCAAAATCCTTAGCTATCAGAGAGATGCAAATAAAAACAACTATGAAATATTTTACCTTAGCAACAATAGTAAAGTTCAGCAGAGCAGCAAACAATAAATGTTGGCAAAGTTGTGGACAGAGCAGAACCATTTTTCACTGCTGGTGAGAGTGTAAAATGGTGCAACCACCATGGAAGGTGGTCCGGGGCTTTCTCAAAAAGTTGGAAATAGAAATACCATTTGACTCAGCAATGCTACTACTGGGAATACTGAGAATATACCCTAAAGAAACCATAACCGTCATCCAACAGATATATACACACCCAGGTTTATTGCCGCTTTATTTACAATAGCAAAGAGATGGAGGCAACCCAAATGCCCATAAACAAATGAATGGATAGAAAAATTATCAATGCAGCACTGAAAAACAATGAACTTGTAAAACATTATACAATATGGATGACTTGGAGGACATTAAGCGGAATGAAATATCTCAGAAACAGAAGGAGAAATACTGCATAGCACCACTGTTATAAAGCAAGTCTGACTTGGGGTTGGGAAAAGAACAGGATAAGAGTGGATCGATAATAAGCATTGCAATGAACAGATGAAGGAAAGAAAGGTTTAAAAGGAATATATGATTAGGCATTATATGTACGACAACAGCCCAGAATAAGAGGGACATTGCAAAGAGGACTGTTCGGTCGTGGAGGTAATTCTGCAAAAATGAATGAATATGGAAAAAATAAAGTAAACTGGGAGGGAAGGAAGGGAGAGGGGGTTATAGGTGCAACAATGAATG